GATTTAGAAGAAAAATAATTTAGATGATCACAGCTATGCAGATCACACTGGCTAAATATTTTCCTGTCTCCAGACACGAAAACAAATACAGCATACAGTAGTGTCTGGTAGTGTTACTGAGCTTTTTGATAAGAAGGCTCTGGATACAATTCTTGCAAAGTGGAATTACACAGACCAACTGGACTCCAAAATATGAAGCATGAGAATTTGCGTAGCCTTTGTTGTGTCTAGAAAAGTATTTCAGAGGCTCACTCCTATATTTTTTCTTGGCACAGGCTTTTCTTCAAGGCCCGATTCTCCCTTGCTTTGCATTCTTGATAATCATTCATACCTGTGTAAAGTAGATATAAAGTGCCTCCATATTGTAACGCAGCGAAGAATGGGGATCACAAATAATTCAGCATAGAAGGGATTTTTCTCTTTTGAATCCACTTAATGTAGTTAGCAAATACTTGCAGTTTGGTAAAGAACTACATCTGTTTTACTTGTACCTTGATCAGATATCCGTGATGACTGTCTTTGAAACACTGAGACTGAAATTCCTGCAATGCAGCATATGTGTAGCTGCCCGGGAACTTCTCGTGGCCAAAGCTGAACGCCATGATTTATTATCATGGAAAGTAGCACAGCTGTAAGCAGCAGCTTAGTATGGAGCATAGAGTAGGACCTAGATCCAGTGTGATTAACCTCAAGAGGTCTCCTGAGGGCCACTGAGGCAATTGGATTTGGGAACCTCACTCCACTGACTGAATAGCAAACTCCTGCACCTTCCTGTGCAACTGTTTAAACCACCCTGGTGCTGTTCAAAGGCTGGCCGTGGCCACGCAGTCTGATGGAGCTAATAACTGGTCCTGCCACAATTAACCTCTCCGGCTCCTCCAGGGATTGAGGTGGCTCCACCTCTCAACTTGGATCACAAATTAGTCTGAGTGGGGAAGAAATATTAATCTCCCACAAACCACTGTGTTTCTGAACCTGCACATCTGAGAAAAACTGAGGCTTACAAGGTATCTAGCAGTTTTTCGGAGAAGGGTGACTTGTCCGCTAGGCAGTGCAGGAAAATAGGTCGTTGGAGACTGGCATGGTGTTTAGGTGCCCAAGTCCCATGTAGCTGGGATGATGGGAGATACCTGAGCAGAAAATTCAGATGGTGTGTTGGTTATTAAGTGATCTTATTACTGAACTTCTGGCAACTTTACGAGGTATTTACTCTCTCTTTTAAGTCAGAGAGTGCATGTTCTTATCAAGGGCTTTAAAGAAAAGTAGTTCTTATCCAAACTGTTGTCAAATTGCTTAAAATAAAAGTATCATTTATCTGATGTAGTAATTAATTCTGGGGCATAAGCCAGTAGCAAAATATGCATGAATGTTACGTGCCACAGTCATTAAAATGTAAATTGGTCTTTTATTTTGACTGCATGATCTTGCTTACATACTTTAGAAAGAACAGTCCAAAATGGCAGTCGCCAATTTAAAACAATGGTCTTTTTTAATAAGAATGCATGAAGAAACATGTAACTGTTTTCACCCTGGTCACTATAATATAATGAGGAGCCTTATAAGAATATGCTCTATTTAAAAATGGAAAAGGTAGAAGGGGGACAGGAAACTTCAACAGTATCGGCATAAATGGGAAAATATTGTAATGTTAAATTTTTGTAGCATATTGCCTACCATTAGAGCAGCAAACATAGATTTCCAGATGTTTGTGAAGAGTCCAACAGTTATATTTTATATCTATGGCTGTAGTAACAATTTCTATTCAGCAGCCTAGAAAAACACTTCATGTCACAACAGGAAAGAAATATTACTGTGGGGTTTTTTTTTCCCTCATCCCCTATATAGTGGTCCTGTATACTTCAGTCAATGCCAAACAAAAATGATGGTTTAAAAATTAAAACCACAGTCACTAGGGGCAGGACATAAACGTGCAGATGTTTTGTGATGTTGAAAAACTTCTCAGGCAACAGTCACAATGCTGTTGTGGAGAGGACTAGAAATCCATCAGAGTCGGACACTGTCAAAAGCATTCCCAAAGCTACACTGTCAGAAAAGGCAGTTACCTTTTCATATTCCCTTAAGAAAAAAAAAAAAAGAAGACAAAAAAATCAAAACCAGAAAAGCTACTCACAATGGCCTTTATAGAGCTCTTGCTATTTTATTACCAAGGGATTGACTGTAATCTGTTAATATAAGTGAGCGACTTATATCTAAAGTTTACTGGGCAACTTGTACAAGTGGAAAACTGCATTGTCCCAAAGCAGTGCACAAAACATCAATTTTCCTTCTTCAGGAAGGAAAATTTTTACAAGTTTATAAGCTGTTTCTGTTTCAGGTACCTCTGTGCCTTAATGCTGTTATACAAATGGCTGCCTGAAAATCTTCCATTTACCACACTTACCTGGCTAGACAAAGAGACATCATGAATAACAACAAAAATAGCGAGGGGGCGATTTTTTAAAGGCACTCACTCAGTGCATTTAATGCCTGCGCACGGTGACAGAGCTCTTGCCTCTCAAGAGCTGGCAGGCATTTCTGCAAACATGCGTGTGGCACCTGGCCGTCCTGCCGGAGCATGGGCTTCTACTGTTGCCTCTCTCTACTGCCTGGTGGTTACAAGAATGGAAATAAAGGTCAAAAATATAAATGGAGGTCAGCTCCTCCCTCTCCAGTTTATTTTACTTGCTTTAATTCATACGATGAGATCACAGGTGAGGTTTTCTGCACTGCCTGGCCTCGCTGCGCCTCGAAGGGTGCAGAAAGCTCTCCAACAGCGGCACAATTCCCCCAAGCCACCAGAAACTCTCTGGAGCAAGAAAGCCATGGGCAGCTTTGCTGCTTCCAAGCAAAAGGCAAGGGGGACGCTGCAAGTAAAGGCGATGTGGTGGGAGTACTGGCTTGTGCAAGACAGGTGGTCCAGTGGGGAAAGGTTGGCATATGTTAGGGAAGGCAGGGATAGGGCCTGGAAGCGTGCAGCCGTGGGGAATCGTGGAGTTGAAACTGCCTCTCTGATGGCCTGGCCTCTTTTCAAAGCCCCAGAAATTGCCTGTCATATGTGTCGTGTGTCAGGTACCAGTTTTCCAGAATGAAATACACCATTAGCAGGTAAAGACAATTCATTAGGTGCAACAGAGCAGAGCTGTAATTAATTATTAGGTATTATTTCTCACAAAATGCGCCTCCAAGACCACATTGCATTAGCCACAATATTGGACTGATGGAGCATAAACAAGGGTAATGATAAACACCGGTGAATGGAGTTGGGAAGAGATGGTTATTAGGGTACTGGTGTGTTTCATGTGGGGTTTATTTAACAGTCTCATTAATGATCTGGAAAAGGAAGTGAATAACCATTTAATTAAGTTTGCATTTGATACTAAATTAGAAGTTGCTGCAGACACCTCCGAGGGCAGAGAAATAAATCAAAAGGAGCTAGAAGCATGTGCGGTAAAGAAGAAAATGAGATCTGGTATGAAATAAAAAAGCAAGCTCATCTCTCTGGAAGCAAATATTCTAAAATGTAGCTATCAGTGGAGGAATTCTGGAGAAAGCAGTGCTGAAAGAGATGTAGGAGTGTTAATGGACTATATATTCCATCACAGCTCGGGTATATGTTTACAGAAGCAACGCATCAAGGAGCAGGAAGGTAATAGCCCTTCATTGTAGGGCTCTAGTGAGAACCCATCTATAATGCTGCACTCTGTTTTGGGCATCCTGTTATCAGAGAGATATAGACAAATTGGAATGAGTTCAGAAAAGAGCCATAAAAATGATCCCATATCCCTGGAGATAATGACTTATGAAGAAAGATCAGAAGAAGTAAATGTGTAAGGCCTTGTCTGAAAGATGACTGAAGTAGGGCAGGAAAACAGTCTGCAAATATGTGAAAGTGAAAAGGGAGGAGGATAATTTATCATGGTAACTATTAGTAATAGGATGAAATAATAAGTAACAACAATAAATTTTAAAAGGGCAACTTCAGGTTGCATGTAGAGAGAAATTTCTGACAGTGGAATTTGGGTTAGTTTGCAGAGAAGTTTCCCAGGGGTGAAAGTAAAAGCTGCATTCAAGCCATTTAGAATCAAATTGGACAACTCACTAGAAAATGCACCCTGCTATAGGGAACAATCTTCCTTTGCCTGGGGAATAAGCTGGATGACTTAATAGGACATTTCACACTCAGGTCTTTATGGCTGTGATATTTTTAATATGCATGGTCAACTATTTCAGGAAAGTATACATTTCTTCTGCTGTCAGGCCTGATAATACAAACACTTGCATGCAAACATAACTTTTAAGAAGGCGAGTAGCTCTGCTGACAGCACTGCTCTGCTGACGTGCAAAACCACAAGCTTGAGCTCTTTGAGTTTTTGCAGGATCAGAGGCTTAGATCTCACAGTTGTCAATATCAAGATGGCATATACAGGTAACCACATCTTTTATGCGTAGGTGAAGAAGTGCGCAGAACAGAAGATGGGGGTCGGAAGCTCCAGTGGGGATGTATCGTTATTGTTATTATTATCGCTATTGCTATTACGACTTATAAATGACTGGTAGTGTGGAGTTCAACTCTGTTTCTTAACTGTTCACCTTTTTCATCTCCTGCTTTCACCTCTGTGCAGAGTGTTCATTAGACAGTGTAAGACTACTTTCTATACTCTGGTTTTTAATGTTGGATATTTTTAATATGTCCTAAAATGTCTGTTGAATGAGAAAAGAGACAAGCTGAAGTGAAGACCTGACCCTCCCTCAGATGAAGAAGAGATGGCAAAGGCTATGGTTTTAAACGGAGATGAGGGTAACCCCGTATTTTCCCCCCAATTATAATAATGTAACATTGAACTCACTTCGCCATTCGTTAGCAGCAGAGACAAGCTCACAGGCATTCAGAGAGGTGCGCTCCCTAAAACACCATGGGTTTTACATGTGGGGTTTTTGTGTTCTTCTTTTCTTCTCTTCCCTCCCCGCTCCCCGATGGGCTGTGTATGGGGGGCTGGCAGCCTGGTGGTGCCGCAGTCCAACGCCCGAGCCGCAGGACTCTCCAGCAAGGGGTCGAGCAGCAGCAGCTCCAGTGAATCCGAGACCAGCTCAGAGTCTGACTCAGAGAGCGAAAGCAGCTCCAGCGAGAGTGACGGCAGCAAGCCCTCGCATTACTCCAGCCCAGAGGTAAGGGCTTCTGCTCTTTCTGATTTAGGGCAGCAATCCGTTATTACAGACTTTTTTCCAGCCAAGCCAACACAAGGCGGCTGTGGGGAGATGCACAAAAAAAATGGAAGAGAAAGGCCCAGGGATCCTCCTCCTGGCCTGCTGTGAAATGCAAGTGTCAGGGGATCCTGGGGCAGATTAAAGCATTGGAAACAAAAATGAAGAAAGAAATAACCCTGTGGTATTTTCCTCAAATTGGAGATGAGTGGAGCCCCTTGCAAGGCTCACAGCTTGCTTGAAGTCTTATGCAACTCTTCCTCCATAGCAATGGCTTGCTTAGTGCAAAGTCCTGATGTGGGCTCCCAGCATTGCAAGGGAACTAAAGGCTTCTCTACACGGGGAAGCTATTATAAAACCAGTTTGAGGGTGGATTTTTAGAGCAAAACAGTTGTTTTTCACTCACATGCTTCCCTCACCTCACTCTCTAAGTGAATTATTCTCTGCTACTGCTGCCTTTGTGTGATTTATTTTAATCCACCTCCAGAATGGACTAAACTGAATTACTCGTGGTGCACATTAAAGCCACCCTTGTCATCTGGAAAGCTAGCACTGAAAATTTCCACATGTAGACAAGCCCTAGCCAAATTACAATTAAGCTGCCAGTGCCATGCCACCTCCTGCTTTCACCCCTGCAGAGTGCTCAACAGGCACGACAAGGCTGCTTTCTCTTCTCTACTTTTCTACCAGGATTGATGTTTTTACATGTTTTGGTCAATACACACCTTTAGTATAAAACAATGAACTCCACAGCCACATCACACAAATTACTGTCTGTAAAAATATTCAAAAATCTAGCAGCAAGATTGTAAATACACATGAAGTACAGTCAGTGTCTTTTCCTACTCCACATAAAGCATCCAATCATCAGACTCCTCCCCCCCAAATTATGCCTCACCTATTCTCTCACCTGAAAAATTATGCTGAATAACCAGCAAGCCTTTCCTCATCTTTTCCTCGGTTATTTGGGGCTATATTTCCCATCAGGCGAAATGCAGCACTCACAGAAACAGCCTTAATATATTTTTCAGGTTCTGTCACTTTTGTTCCTTATTTAACACTTATCTTCCTTCCTGTCTTCCCTTCACAGTACTTTCAGATCCATTGCCAGTTAATTTTCCTCTCACTTTGTCCCTTTCCTAAATCTCTCTCCCTGGTTCTCTTCCCTTTCGTCTTCATTCTCTTCCTTCCAGCCTCTCTTCCCTGTTGCCCTCCCTGCGTTACCCCATGTTGTATTTCCCATTCCGAGCTCTCTCATCCAACCCGTTAAGACCTTGTTCTCTCTCTGCCTATTTCCCTGCTGGAATTAGTGCAGAGATCTCACACTCGGTCTCTCCTCTCCCTGTGGGATCTCAGAAGGTGGAAGAAAAGGGACAAAGAGAAGAAAGAGAAGGAACGGTTGTGGGGGGAAGGAAATATGAGATAAAAGGAGGAGAAGGATAGTACCCAAGAAAGGAGGAGTGTTTACTGTCTAGGCAGATCCCCATGCTGCTTGGACCTGAGAGCAGCAATTCCTCAGGGCATGCAGAAGTTAATTAACTGAGGCAGGTCGTGGATTTCATAAAGTCAGGCAGGGGACTGAGAGGCATGGAAACGTGGAGGAAGTGCCTCCTCTTACGCAGTTTAGACATATCCTCTCGAGATCCGTGGAACTACTTTTGTACAGAGCCTGAGTTATCAGTGATCGTTGTCACAGAACAGCTGCACTGCTCCAACAGATTGCTTGTCTCTCTGCGTTATATTTTTGTGATTTGCCTTCTAGGACATGCCGTATGAAACGCACTTATACGAAAATGTGAATGACTCAAAAAGTGTGATGGCTGCAGTGGTTTTCATAGGTCATGCCTTGATGGGATATGGGAGAGGTCACACGTGGATAAGGTCAGGGTGTCCCAGGGAAGTAGGGTACCTGTGCTTCCCCCAAGGGCCAGTGTTTTCCCAGGCCCGTCGTATGACTGATGGCACCAGTTCAAAACATGCTTCTGTGATGTCTCCGACTGGAAGTCTTGTCTGCTTTGCATTAATGCTTTAACTTACGTTTGTGCACCCAGAGAAGCTATCCTCCTAAAGTACATGCCATGTTCTTACCTGGTAAATGGAGAGAGACAGGTCCTTGGAAACTCTTTAAAGGGAGGCCCTGTCCACCTAAATTTAAGTGGTGGACACAATTTCAGTCCTAAAATTAATTTCATCTGTTGGATAAAACAGAAAAAGCAAATACATCTTTGCTTTTGCTTTAGCATAAACTGATAAATTCAGGTACAATGAACTTGAGTACCCCGGCACAATGCCGGGCAGGAAATCCATATTTCCAGGTTGGGAGGAACTTAATCTGCAGACCATTATGAGGCCTTCATTCCCTTTTTTTTTCCCATAATCTGAAATATTATGTGCATATACTCAAAGATTTTTATTTCTAGGACAGTGTGTCTTCTGCATTTGAGATTATATAGAAATTCAATTGCTGTTTCATTTTTTCTGTATTTTTTTTCCTCATCTCATTTTGAGATCTTGGAGTTGTTCTCAGGTGTCTAAATGCAGTTGCCTAGAGTGTAAAAGCAGCTCATTGTAAAGCATACATATAAAATAGATTAGATGAATTGCACCCTAAAAGTGTCTGTTTCTTTCCATTGACTATTTAGAGCCTGTAGTGACTAGCTCAGCTGTCTACACTTTATGTCTGCAGTAAACTAAGAATAATGGCTGAGCTAGAACAGGAGACAACATTCAGACTGGTTTCAGTGATGTGGACAAATTAAGGTGCCTCAGACATTAATGTTTGTAGTTACAGTTTTGTGGACTGCCAAACCTGATTTTACGAACAACAGACTGAGCCTTGTATCTCCCGTTTCTTTGCTGAAGTCATGAATTCTTTGCATGACCTTAATTAACGTCATAAATGAGGACTCTGGAAAACAATGACGTCTTGTTCTTGCAACTATTTCAGATGGTAGAAAAAAACCTTGGGTGTCAAGTCCATAGAAAGAGCTATATTTCAAAAGCTAAGAATCTGGTTTGTTTGTTCTTTGTTCCATTGAATTATCCTGCAGACCTTTAATAAGGCTGAATCTGGTTAGACAACCAGGAATTCCTACTACGCAGGGAGGACTAGAGCGGGGAATGGGCAGGAAGCAAGCGGAGAAGCCATCGCATGGGACAAAGCATCAGTGGCTAGTCAACAGTAATCAGGCCAGAAGAGAGAGGGGTACTGTCCTGGCCTCCGCCAGCCCCACACGTGAGATGCAATGTCCTTTGCAGCCTCTGCTGTTGTGACTAGTCCACAACTTTTAATTTTTTTCCCTCTTTTTCAATGATTCACATATACTTTTTGTCCGTGCTTATTCCATCATCACAGGATATACTCTTTCATCTCAAGTCCCCATGTTGTGACTGACCAGGTCAAAGCTGAAGTGATTTGTAGGGTTATGCTCTCCCCCACCCTCCTTCCTCATCACCAGAGAGCCACCTCCTGACCACTCTGCATCAAGTCCTTCAAGTACCAGTGGCTGAGAAGCCACTGCTGGTGAATCCCTGCTCTTCCCTCAGGAACTCTGTGGCATTGGCTCTCTTCTCTTTAGCTCAGAAAATAGGAAGAATGCGTGTATCTAACAGACCAACAAACTGGTGAGCGTGCTCCCATCACTGCACCAGCCTTTCTTCACTGATAGATTTCATTAGGGAGGGAGGGGAAGAAGAGTTGCACTTTTAGGGTTGTGGGGTAGGAAGGGTATGTTTTCTGTATCTGTCTTGTTTTCCAAAAGGTTTTTGCTTCCCATCTTAAGTGCAGCCATGATTCGATTTCCTGACTGGTGCACTCAGAAGAAAATGGGCTTTTACCACTAGACCAGCTGTAGACGCTATCTTTACCTTTGCAAATAGGATTCGTGGCCGTTAGCTGTCCTGTGGACTATTTTTGACAATGACTACAAAATAAACTCTCCCTTCCCTCCAGAAAACTCTTTGTGGCAGGAGCCATCTCTTGCAGTATATGTGTGCCATGCCTAACACATGGGAATCCCCAGTTCGAATTTGATAAAGCACTAGCAGCAGACCTAATAGTAGCAATAAAGTAGTAGTAGTAGTAGTAATAATAATCATCCTCATCATCATCATCATCTGTGCCTTAAATACAATTTGTCTGGGGATTGCCCTGAATGACATCTTTGATAGCAGGGCAGCACAAGCAAGTTATCACAAGGGTAAATTAGTATGTGGATTTACAGTAGGCTGAATATACTGCAGGGATGGCTGATAGCTCATTCCTACCCCACAGTGGGCTAAGTACATGCGCATATTATAGGCTATCTAATCTCTCAGTGAAAGTGGTGTCATGCTTCAAGTCTACCATGGTATTAGCTACACTTTCGGTCCCCTTTTTTAATAACAAGCATAGAGTGACCCTATTACACTTAACACTGTTTAACAGCCCTTCACCCCAGAAAGTGTTTCTGGATAGTGTTTTGACAAAGGTTTCATTTGGATGCGTGCCACTTGTGCCTTTGGTTGCACTTGTAGCCTTGAAGAGATCTGAGATATATAGGCGCGCTGTGTGGGAGGCATCCCACCTAAATTTGGACACTTGTACCGTAGATACCTACATCTGCTCATCACCTCAGCCTCCCCTTTACAGTCGGTGGAGAGGAATAGACATTTTTAGGGCCCAGCTCATCTGGCCTATTTCAGATGTCTATTTCAAGAAGGAACGTTTCACACCCTAGAAGAGTAGTCCACTGACTGGAGAAGGAACTCGTTGACTAGCTCAGATATAGGTGTCTATGTTGTACAGATGAATCCGCCCACGATTTTTAAGGAAGTGTATCGCATCCTTCTGTTTCTCGATGAAGCCTGGCACATGTGTACATCTGTGGTGCATTGGTCCCTGGAACTATCTTTGTCTGATAGTTTCCTGGTTTGGGTTTTCATGCCAAACCCATATTTCGTTGCAAGTCAGCTTCACCACAGACCGTTATTCGTATGGCTGCTGCCCATCGGGGCACCACCGTCTTTAACCCAATTAAAAAATACCCAGTTCTCTTCAAGGCCGTGAGGGCAGCATATTCCCATGACACAAAAAACTAAGGGACAGAGACCATTCTGCTACCTGATCGCTCTGGATATATATTCATATATATTTCCATCCTTACATGCTGCTGACGATGTCCCACTTCGAGAAAACCAACTTTTCCTCCATAGAATAGTATGTGATCAGCTCAGGGGGGTGGTGTGGACTGGAGAATTAGGGTTTTTCTTTTTCTCCCACAAATAATTGCAGTTAGGCAGGTAAAGTGGACTGGTGAAAGTTTTCAAGTGAATTTTCCCAGTCCTTTTTTTTACTAGGCCTGATCTTCATTCCTGGCTGTGATGATTTTGTTGTCTTGCAAGGTACCTTGGTTTTTTTAAGTGATTTCAAAGTACGGTACTTTTCAGTTTAGAGCAATCAATTGAATAAATTACTTCCAAAAGTTAATTGGTATCACTCATGCACACTGACAATCTCAAATATTCCAAAACTTTATCAGGGCCCAGAAATAGTGAGAAAAGTTTTAAAATTCTGATTTTTTTAAATTTGGATTCTTTTAATTTACCTTATGGGCTGCAGGCTTTTTACTTTTAGCAGATGCATCCTAAAGGGGGTTTTTTGCAGACATTTCTTAAGGGTTTTTCAGCAGCCGCAAGGATTTAAATTTTTATTTAAATAAACCGTGGATGTGCATCTAAGCCCATGATTCTGAGGCTTTAAGAAAAAATAATGAGTGTCCTGAAACTCCTCACAAAATTAGTAAAGCTGGCAACATTGCTGACCATTTTATTAGACTTCATACTTGGTTATAGGTTGGTGGGACTGTAGTTATTCTATCTATATCTAAATAGCAGACATATCACTGTAGGAAAGTACCACATTGCCAAGTTATGGCACGGTAGCAGTTAATCACTGTTTTCTGCTGGTTTACTGTGATCCCTTGAAATCCATATTTTGTGAACCACTGTTTTCAAGAATTACAAGGTACATAAAGAGACAGCCTGGGATGTAACAGAAAAGCTGGAAGTTTTTCTGAACTTTCAAGCTGCCCTCACTCTGACCTATACCTATGGGCAGAGGTATATTTTTCCCCACGTGCTTCTGATGTATGTCCTTTTCTTAAATACACCTGAACAGTGGAAAGACTTCCATGTATAGTGAACCTTTTATTATATATCTAGTAAATTCAGTGCACAATGAATGGCACCAAACAAATCTATCTGTGTTTTCAGCAGCAATCAAAAAAATGCTGTTTATTTTAGATAAAGAGTTAAGAGTTGTAAAAATATATCCTCATCCAAGAGAAATACTGCCCATCCATTTTCAAGATTTACAGCTCAGGAAAGAAATTCCTCATGTAAGATATTAGGGAGTATGCTTCAGAAAAAACAAACTTGAGGCAATCCAGCATACTTCCCATAGGTATTGGCTAGTTCAGTAATGAGTAGATTAGACACTTTTGCGAGAAGGAATATTTGTACCATATGAATTCCGATGTCTAACTTTTTTGCTTATTTTAGGAGCCTTTTCTCCATGTATAGTGAATACAGCCCTCAGTGGGTGATTCTGGAGATGCCCTTGGCTATGCAGGAAACCTGTGTTGCCCTCAGGCACCTACTTTAAATAAGGAGTTAAGTAAGAGACTCTTTTAGGTAAGAGACTGTTTTAAGTTAGAGACTGTGGGTTTTCTCTCTTGAGCAAACTTTCTTCCACAGCATTGATGGTTTTCATGTTAGACTCATGACACACTTTTTGATTATTCATATGCAATAGCCTAGTGGATCAAATTTTGGTTCCAATTAAGGAATTTAGGAGACTTTTCACATTGGCTTCTGCAGGCTTAGGTTATGGCTGGCCATCTACTCCACCATTTATTTCCTTTGGGTTTTTTTTTCGTTTCCTCTTCATTTTATTACATTCAAATTACTGATTGCAAGAAGCGCTAGAAAACACTTGCACATTGTTCTGAAATAACATTGTCTGAGCTGTGGTTACATTTGAAATCGTAATTATCCCACTTCTTCACTGTCCAAACACCATTATGTTTTAGATGCTCTCTTATAACTTGATCATGTTGTGACAGGAACAGAGAGAAGAACTAACAGCCGCACAATACTCACAAAATGAGCACTTGACAATACTACCACACAACAAATGTTTGTGGGATCTCACAGGATTACAACGTCAATACCAGACAGATTACATGAACCACCTGGTTAACCCCTCAGCTCCCCACTGCCTGCCCCTTTGTATGCTTGTGAAATACTTTTTGTATTTATCGCAATGGCGTAGGGCACAAAATACATATCCCTAGCTTTCCTAACAGCTCTATGCCCTTAGCCTCAGCCATACCCCTGCCTTGTTTTCCTCTCTTCCTATCACCATTATCTTTTCTTCTATTTGGAAACTTGGGAGTGTTTCCCAGTCAAGCCAATGCCGGTAGCGCTGCATGAATCATCCTTAAAAGTGATGAATCACGGAAGCTGTCCTCTTTCCCAACCTCATTCTGAAACCAAGAATATCCCCACTTGCACGGCATGCCCCACGTCTACCATGCAGGGCCAGCGCCAGGGGGTCACCACTGCTTGGGGGTGGCTCTTTGGCCAGAGGTAAATTTTTGTGTTACCGGGAGGGACCTGGCATTTTGGTGTCCCTGATGGAGCCCTGGGGCGAGGGCAGCAGGGTCTCAGCACTAAGCGTGTTGCCATCTGTTTCCCTTTCAGCCCGAGCCACCCTCATCCAACAAGTGGCAGCTGGACAAGTGGCTGAATAAAGTCACCCCGCACAAAGCACCCATCCTGACCCACCATGATGGCCCAGCGCTGGAGGCCCATCCCTACTAC